TAGTTATAACATGTTTGTATTCTTTACTGCAGTATGCAACTGTCTGCTGAAATCCCAGCCCATCTTTGACTATGAAGATCACTACTACTGTGGTGACGACTATCATCGTAACTAYGGACAGAAGTGTCATGCCTGCAAGCAGTTCATTGAAGGAGAAGCTGTTGCAGTGCATGGGAATGTTTACCATGACTCCTGTTTCGTCTGTGGATATTGCAGGTATGTGTGCAAGTATATAATGATTGCACAAATCGAAAACATGCGTGTTTCCTGTGTGCAGTCATAAAAGCAAACATCGAAGATCTTCCCAGTAATGAATAGAGTTTTGAAGTGATGAAGTCACATAATTCTTTTTAAGGACTTTAGCATGTAAAACTATGACGTAGTGTGGAATTTCAGAGCAATAGAGCAAAAAACGGCTAAGAYATAGGTAATTTAATAGGAAAATATTGCCACAAATTTCCTTTTGTTTGAGGCTGGATGTAACATGATTRGATCCAATGCAAAATAAGAGAAAATATGTGGAAATTTTTGGAGCTTAAATGTCCAATATTTCCATTTCTACTACTCGTAACAACCTTAAAGTTAACAGAAATGTAGTTGTTTTCTCTTCAAATATGAACTTTTCAAGACTGGATTACAATGACATCACACTTGGGTACTCTATTGATTGTGGCAAACAGAGAATATTAAATGAAATATGTTGTCAGATATTGGGAAACATCTCACTTGAAATGAAAAGTCTAGTGGTTGACACGTAATCATACTGTGCTACTCATTGCCTAGCAATGATAAAAAGGTAAATTATACACCATGAAAAGATGAAAAAATTTACTGACATTTCGGACTCTAGTCCTTCGTTGGAGTAAAAGAGTGCCTCTTTTCACTGTGTATAATTTACCTTTTTATCATTACTGTTTCATTAGAAACACCAAAGCAGCTCACACTAGTTTATAGCTAGTTATCTTTACTCATTGACTACATGTRCTTAATTAACTTTCAAACGCCATTTCTTTTTATCTAGTTCCATTCTTTTTAAGGTAATAAATAAATTTACAATTATAAAGTTCTAAGTTCTTTGTTTTAGGGCATGTGTGCTAATCGTAATGTCCACGGCTGATCTACACAATTAGCTCAACTTTTAATTTTTATTATTCTTTAGGCAGCCATTTCCTAATGGAGAGAAGATAGCCTATGACGGCAAGGACTATAAGTGCCAAAAATGTGTTAACACACCAAGGAAATCTCCAAGTCCTCGACCTGCTCATAGTCCTCAGCCCCTCCATAGTAAGTATAAAATAATGATGGTGTTGATCATTGGTGATGATGATGGTGATGATGATGGTGATGATGATGTTGATGGTGATGATGTTGATAATGATGTTGATGATGGTGATGATGATGGTGATGATGTTGATGATGATGGTGATGATGATGTTGATGGTGATAATAATGTTGATGGTGATAATGATGGTGTTGATGGTGGTGATGTTGATGGTGATGATAATGTTGATGATGGTGATGATGATGATGGTGATGATGTTGGTGATGATGATGATGATGAAGTTGATGATGGTGATGATGATGGTGATGATGATGGTGACGATGATGGTGACGATGATGGTGATGATGATGGTAATGATGTTGACGATGAAGAAATCTAGTGCAAGCCCACCATGTTAGCCCTACTTGGAGTAAGTCCACACTAGTACCCACCCCAGCCCCCCTTTGCATACAGTGGGTAACTACTACCATCCCATTCTTGGGACTTTGAGATTGTAGCGGCACAGTATACATATTTGAATCTTAGGTCCTGATACTATACTCATCACTGACTGTTATTACTTCTTTGACTTTT